TCATTTATGTGTGTTCTGCCTGCTTGCGCATGTAAGTTTATTTGTGTTTTTTGGGTTTTTGTCACATTTGCCAGCAATAAAAGCTGAGTTTTGAAATACACTTTTGCCTCCGAGCGTCTGCACTTTGGGTCCTCCTTACCACGACTCCTGCCTGCACACAGCCTTAACCTGACAGTTTTCAGCCAAATAAAATCATTTTGTTATCTTGGGGTCAGTTGTTTTTCTCAAATCTATGACATGTTGTGCTCTTTCTTGACACACTCACATACTCACATTAGAAGAGTGTGTTGTGTGTACCTAAATACAATTTATAATCTAGTTATTGCATTTCCTTGCAGTTAGTTTGTGTTTAAAAAAAATTCAGATATTTTCTCAAAATTCCTTCTTATCATAGAGTGAGGTCATGGAAGACTTTTGGGTTTGTTTTTTAAATTGTGTCATTTTTTTAGTGTCCAATCCAATTTTATTTCTGAATACATTTTTTTTTAAAACAAGTTTAACAGAGTACTGTAAAAAGCAGCAGCACACAACAGATATAACAATATAAACATGTCAACAACAATAATAACATCACATCAGATTGTATCACACTCATTCTGAGTTAAAAGCCAAGGAATAAAAATGAGTATTAAGATGTGGTTTAAAAACAGGTGTGAGGAGGCCATCCTAACATGGGCAGGAAGATCTTTCCACATTTGGCCCCTGGATTTCAGCTGGGGCTTAGGGACCACTAGAAGCAGCTGATCAATAGACCTTAGCTCGGATATTTATGGTTTTCTTGATCCATTAAATGTTTTTAAAAGAAATGAAATCTTAAAATTGATCCTAAAACAAACAGGGAACCAGTGGAGGGATCTGGTCCTGGTTAAAAGACTAGCCACAGCATTTTGGATTAACTGATTTGGTTAGTCACTGTTGGTTTAACGCAGGGCTGTAGAGTCCCCCGGTCCAAGAGAAGAGCAGCACACGCACCACTAGTTCTGAAAACAATAACCTCAGTCTTGCTTTCATTGAATTAAAAAAAAAAATACTAATAAGTCCATTCATACTGTGGCGTGTTGGGGGAGCAGCTAGTTCTCTCCCATCATGCCTTGGGACATGTGCTGCTGTTTAGATGTTCTTGTTTTATTGTTTATGGTTATGTTACTTTTAACTGTTATCTTGAATGTGTTTACGCTGTGGGGCAGAGTCACTGACAGTTGTTGTTTTGTAGAGAGTGTGCTGTACCATGAGTGAGTTCTGTTGTGCTGTTGTTGACCACTGAGGCACATTGTGACACCAGCAAGTGTTTTAAAAAAAAAAAATCACCCCCAAGGGAAGAAGGTAAAGAGAAAAAAAGGATTGGCTCAAGAATTCATTTGTTGGTTTATGTCTAAAATTTAAGAGAACTGTATTTCCTTCAGGATTAATAAAGTATTCTGATTCTGATTTTGCAATTGCAATCTTTTCTAGACTAATTCTGGATATTTCCGTAAAGGATGATTATGTTCTTGCCACTGCTGAAAATCATCCAAATATGCTATTTTCTTCTGTTTCACCAGGTAACTTAGCGGGGACGTATATAACTGCAAAAAAAGCACCATCCGTAGTTTCTCTGATGCAGATCACCAGAAAATTATTGACATGGTTGTCAATTTTATGGCAATGGCGCATATTTTGCTGTCAATGCTAGCTACTCTGCTTGTGACAGCTACTGCAAGCCAAATCCAAATGGAGAGAAGTTTATGTACGTCTGCCGAGTTCTGGCTGGGGACTCCTACTTGGACAACCTCCACTGACCTGTACGACAGTGTTGTGGACAAAACCCCCAATCCCACCATGTTTGTTGTCTTCCATGCCACTCAGGCTTATCCTGAGTATTTGATTACATTTAAGTGATGCAGCCAACAAGGGAGATTATAAATCATAACTTGATATTACGTATAGCTCCATATTTTTATTCCTGGACTGTACTCGAGTGGCTTTGCATAATTCAGAGTTCAAAATAATCCTTAAATAGAGGGTTTACTGCAGCCCCCTCAGTTCACCCTCTTCCTGAAACACCCCTTTTCTCCTTTGGCTTCTGTGCCCAAATTCAGAAAGATGTGCATGAGATTAATATATTAAGCAAACAATTTGGAGCTCCCAGATACCTCCAGCTCCTCGGTTGTTGTTCATCCTTCTTGCTCTGATAGACTGTATTCTATGGTAGACGTGACTGGAGATATTGTCAACAGCCATTTAATGATTTTATGTTTATTTTAGCAGCAGTATGACTTCATGCTGACAAAAAGCACTACAGATGTGATGTTCACTGTGAAAGTGCGGATGGAGAAATATTGAGAAAGTCAGAAAGAGTTCCTTTGTCTCTATGTGGATGTGAAAAAAAGCATAAAAACAAACAAACAAAAAACAAACAATAGGGTGCCTAGAGAGTAACTGAGGTACTGCATGTGAGAATGAGGCAGGATATGCATGAGGACAGCAAGATAGTGGAGAGGTGTGGTAGGTGTGACAGGTTTAAGGTGGGGGTGGGATTACATTCGGCTCTGAGCTCCTTATTGTTTGCAATTTCTGAAGGACAGACTGAAAGTTGACTATGGCTCCATCATGTATCATGATGATCGCAAATGCCCTTGTTATCTGTAGTGAGCAGGTGGAAGTGACACTGTGTTTATACCAGACAGTATACAGCTGGTATAAGGGTGGAATTCAGTAAATTAATCTAAGCATCATCAGATTTAAATTAATCTCTGCTAATAAATCAAATAATACAATATGTTACAAAGTCAAAAAATCTAAGAAATAGCTCTAACATATACAAATAGTTTAATTATAAATATCCAAAATATTACAGGTGACTACAGTTCCTTTTTGACACCAGAAGAAGCCCATTCGTTAATAAATCTGACCCTTTATAATGACAGCTTTGTTTTAATGAACTTTGTTGTATGAAAGACTCATGAAGTGACAAATGGGTTTAAACCGATTATGTTAACTGTGCATATTTGGAACTTCTCTTGGAAAAAGGAAAAAAAATAAACGTTTGTCTTTTAGTGGAATAGCTAATAAAAAGGGCACATTTAGAATAGAATAAACCTTTATTATCTCACGGATGAGAAATTTCGGTGTTACAGAGCTCTTACAGCAAGGGAAAATAAAATATAAAAGGTGGGTGGTCCTATAAACATACAGGTATATCCAGGTAACAATGTACAATATATGTATAGAAAATTTGAAAAAAATTGTATGGAGATATGTATAAAATGTACAGTAAACAAACAAGCTTTAAATTTCCAATTTTAAAATTATGTCAATACTAGACAACGGAAGGCAGCAGCAACACTCCAATCACATTGTCTTCAGGTTGTGGAAGCATATTTGTTGCATATTTTTTGCAGTCGTTGTTGATGATTTCAGTTTTTCCTCGTAAACATGCTGCATCTTGAATCTGCAATGTGTTTTTCTCAAATGTTTATTTTTTTCTTTTCTTTTCAGTTTTTTCCCCAACATTTTGGGAAATTTGCTCGTCTGTCTAGTCAAAGTTTTGTTTGTTGTTTTTTTTTTTCATAAATGGGCAAGTAAATTTTTCTAATAATACCGCCAATATAAACAGTATGTTAAACATTAAAATCGTTTTGTTTGTTTGTTTGTTTGTTTGTTAAATGCATTTCAACCTGTCTAACACTGATACTCGCAGAGTTTGTTTTTTTTTAGTTTCCACCATGGGAGGAACCAGTCCTACATGTATTCTACTACAAGTGAAGCAGAAAGTGAAAGACTTTATTCTTCTTTGTGCGTCTTCCCGGCCTCTAACGATGGCCGAGGCACACTCGTATCCTCTGCTCGTTGGATTCGAAGAAACCAACATACCCAGTTTAGAAACAAAGTTACTGCAGTACTTTCGTACTGTCGGTGGCGACTGTGAGATTGAGTATGACAATGGCAGCAGGACAGCGATACTGCACTTCACGAGAGAGGAGGGTAAGTTTGGCTCCATGAAGTAAACTGAAAATAATACTACTAATAATAATAGCTTCTACGCCGTATTATCAGTGGAGTTCTTTACTGTAGATTTTTTTTCTCTCGTGTCACAGATCAGAGGAATGTTCTGGCGAAAGAGTCTCATCAGATCAGCTTGGAAAAGGGCGTTTTGAAGCTGACGGTTCATTTATCCACTGAAACGAAATCATCACAGGTATTATTTATGATAGGCCGGTGTAGTCAAGGGAGATCTGCATACCAAGAATGTTCAAGAATAGTTTTGTATGCCCTTGTCAATATAAATATGCTAAAGTAAAATATAGTAATGTTACACTATTTGTGGGTGGAAGTTGTTGAACCTCCTCCCCAGACTTCGAACTTAGGATTAGTTTATAGTAAACAACGATCTGTGTCTCGGTTTTGAGCTGTTTATCCGGTTCTAAAGGTCACATGACTTACCGTGAACTCAAAGCTGTTCTCTCTTTCTGCTGTAGGAATATTGCAAACAAAAAAACCCATTACTGTGTCTTTTGTTTTATTTTGCTTTACACAAATTAAGTATAATTAAATATTTTTTCCATTATATTTCTTTAAAGACCAACAGCTATTTATAGTCTGGTCACACAAGATTTCAGTATAATAAAAAAATGGTGAATACATTTATATTTTTTTTGTTCCACACAGGAATTGGATAAAGACAACACGAAATGTAAGTACTGAATAAAAACAACACCTCAGTCTTATGCCATGCATGCTATATATGTAATGAAGGTATTTCGTTTCTACATAATATTTTTATACAACCATGTGTTTGTCAAAAACTTCTACAAATCTCTAACTGGTATTTAAGGTGTTTTTTCTCTGATTAAGCATGTCTGGGTACATGAAACATTTTCCTGCTGTAATTTTGAATCGAGGAATCACTCCTCAACTCAAATACGAATTTTTGTCTAAAATATGAATTTGTCAGTTCTATTAATTTGTCTACCCCTCTGTTTTATCAGGTTAGAGTATGTTGTCATCGTTTCACAGAAATTGTGGCCTGGCATTGCAATTGTTAGTGATAGCTGATGCATGCTGTTGAGCTGGGTAAATAGAAACAAAAGGTCTTACATATCCAAATTGTTTTACATGTTTGTATTTTTTTCATTACAGCTGTTAAAAACATAAAGATGAAGAATTCCATAAAGAATGACGAGGCCAGAGTTAATCGGTTGTCTGTTTTAAAAAGTTTAAGAAGGTCATTTAAGGTCAAGACGTCAATAAAACTTCCCGCTGCCATCTCAGAGCCCATTGACAGTGCTGTCCTCAGATACCTAGCTCAAAATAAATCAGCAGCAGAGACCATTTGCAGTGAAATGGAAAAACGTTTCTGCATCGTGAACCTCGGCCAAACCACTGTGACCTTAAGTCCTGTGTCTTCTTTACTAAAGCAAAAGGATGCCAAAGCCATCATCAAAGAGTGGACGGATACTGTGAAGTCAGCGTTTGCACAATCTGTGTCAAAGTTCAAATCTGCGAAGTTCTGTCCAGATTCAGATGCATGGAAAGAGTCTGAGGAAAAGATCAGAGAGATGTTACTGAATGAAAATGTGATTGTAGTACCTGATAAAGACAGAGGTGCTTTATCAGTGGCTGGTCTTGATAGTGATGTCAACAGACTGGAGAAATCTCTTTCTGAAATTATAAACAAAATCCACAGGGAGAAAACAAGTAAAACTGTAGAGATCGAAGTGTCACCATCAGTTTTCCATCTCCTGCATCAAAATGGGCTTTTGGACAACCTTCTACTTGTGTATCCAGAACTCAAATTGTCACCAGAGAGTCCTAATCTGAAAATAACTGGTTTAGGGGAAGAGATTAATGCAGCAATCAATCTTATATTAGATGCAGTACTTGCATTAAAACGACAGAATCTGGAAGTAGATAAATATGTGCTTGAACTGTTGAAGGATGAGCAACAAGAGGAGCTTACAGATGCTCTCCTCACATCTCATCAAATAAACGCAGCGTTTGAAATCAGTGGAAACAGGGTGCAGCTCCTTGCTGTTTCTGACACAGATCTGTCTCATGCTCAGGACCATCTAGGACAGCTGTTAACAACTCAGTACATTCATGTTGAAGACAGTAATGTCCTGAAGAAGCCAGAGTGGCAGCAGCTGGTCAGTCACTTAGAGCAGGCTAACAGTAAGCCATGCAGAACTCGAATCAACACAACTGCTCAACAAGTCGTGGTGTCAGGCTACAAGGATAGTGCCATAAAGGTTCAGCATCAGCTTGGTGTCTTCTTAACACAGAACGCTCACATTGAAGAAACTGTTGTGGTCAAAGCTAATGCTGTCGTTAAATACTTGGAAGAGTTCAACACATCTTGGATGGAGAAAGTGAAAGACAAGGTGAGAGTGTCCTACAGAAATGAGGCCATCTTTCTGAGTGGATCCAGAGTGAATGTGACACATTGCAAGACTGTGGTTGAAGGTGCCGTCTCTGCTGTAGTCTTTGACAGTCTGAATGTCTGCATGTCTGGAGTGAAGAAGCTCTTCCAGGAAAATGAAACACTGTATGTTTCCTCAATCAAAACTAAAACTGGTTGCCTGGTACAACTGGTTTATAAGCCATGTGGTGGACAAGACAATGATGACACTGCTGTTCAGGATATAGTGGCTGCTGTCAGGCAGGAGTTTGGAAACCACGGTGTCACTCATTCTCAACAAACTCCTCCTCCCAAAGCTCACAAGCCACCAGTTTTTCAGCCTACTGGATTGGACCTGTATTTGTATCATGTGCAGACAAATGAAGGCCTGGACATTGTTCTTACAAAGGGAAATATAGAGGCTGCCATGGTAATTTGGATTTTTATTATACTTAATTCAGATTAGATAGTTCCCTTAAGACAGAACTTTTCTTACCACAAGATGACAGACTGCAAGAGTATGTATGTAGCATTGACTACTCACCCTATCAAGCTTTAAATTATTATATAAATTATTATATAATAATTATTTAAATTATATAAATTATTATTATAAATTATCTTTTTAGTAAAGGGGTTCACTGTGTCTTCTTTTATTATTATTTTTTGTTTTCTTGTTTATAATAGTTATTTGCACTGCTGAACTGACGACTGATCACTTTCATAACTTTTTAGACAGAGGTGATTGTAAACAGTGTGCCTCCAAACCTCAACCTGAACAGTGGTGAAGTTTCAAAAGCCATCTTGCGTGCAGCTGGACCCAAACTTCAGCAGTCAATAAATGCACAGGGTGCTGCTGGAAAGGTTGGTGAGATCATTGTTACTGAGGGCTGCCAACTAAACAGCAAAAAAGTTTTTCACTTAATTGCACCTTACTGGGATAATGGACAAGGCACATCTGAAGAGGTAATGTATTTCATCATATATAATACATTTTTAATAATCATCACAGTCTAAAATTGATGACATATGCATATTCCTGAAACTAAATGTCATTATCTTTAATATTATTAAATAGTATTTATTTGTTGCCTTACAGTGTTTGCAAGGACTCTTTTTGGATTGTTTAGACATGGCAGAGAATAATAATCTAACCTCCATATCCTTGCCTGCAATTAGCACTGGAGACCTGTGTTTCCCAACAGCTGTCGTAGCTTCTTTGATGTTGGATACAATCTTAGAATTTAGCAAAATGAGACACCCCAAGCACCTGAAGATGGTTGTGATTGTACTTTATCCAGTTGATACACAGTGTATTCAGGTAAGAAAAGCTTGCACCTTAATATATCATATTTAAATAAACAGCAAGTCAAGTTTTTCTTTGGACATTGGCTGCCTTTTAATTTATTTTCAGACCATTTTCAGAGGATTTTTTGTTTTGTTTTGTTTCTCTTGGCACTTTACACTGACCTATGAATCATGCAAGCATAACAAACTCATGGGTTGAACCAGTTTTGTATTCACGTATTAGTAAAGATGTGAATACAATTATTTTTCTTTAAGCATGTCATGCCTGTCAGGCATGTTTGTTCCCATTTCTTTGCCTGACTCTACATAAAATATCACAGATAATACAGTTAGACAGACATAAAAAAGGATTTTTCACAATGATATTCAAGCGGAAAACTTGCATTGGGCGCAGTTTGTCCTTAAAAAAATCTGAGAAAATTGGACAAGCGGACGAGAAAGGAAGAAGTGGTAGGAATCTTCCTCTGGGCATAGATTCAACAAGGTGCTAGAAAGATTCCTCAGAGATTCTGTTCCATACTGATATAATAGCAGATGTAATAATGATGTAATAACATATATAAACATATATAAATGATATAATTATATATTTGTTTCTTTCTTGTGTTTCTTGTGTTTTAGATGTATAATTTAATGCCCCCCTCTTGAATCACTATCTTATCATAGTAGAGGAGTTTGTATGTTCCAGGTATCCCAGAGGCTATCTTGTCAGTAGGTCCTCCCATGACAAACTGATCCTGGGTGAGGGACCAGACAAAGAGCGATTTAAAAACTACAATGAGAACAAAATCAAGGGAACAGTTTACTCTGCCTGGGATAGGTTTACAGGAGCCCCACCTTGGAGCTTGAGAGGGTGCCTGAGGGCGAGTGCCTGATGACTGAGCCTTAGCGTATGGATCCCAGCCGTGCACAGCCCAAAAATGCGACATGGAACTAGCCTGCTGTAGGCCTACCACCCACAAGAGGCGGTGCAGTGTGTGCTAAGCAGCAGCCAGGGGTGGCGACCCCAGCAAACCCATCCCTAACTACCAAAATTAGCATTTGGGGCATGGAACATCACCTCTCTGATGGGAAAGGAGCCCGAGGTAGTGCATGAGGTCAGGAAGTACCGGCTAGATATAGTTTGGCTGTAGTTATCCAAGGTGAGAGGCGGTAGCCTGGGGTGGGTATCTTAGTATCCCAAAGTTTGCTGTCTGTACATTAGTTTTCCCCAGTGGATGACAGGGTTTGTTCTCTGCACCTTCGGGTCAGGGAAGGGTTCCTGACTGTTGCCTGTGCCTATGCGCCAAATGCATGTGCTCCAACTATAGGAGGATCACACTCCTCCAGTGTGTGAATGCGTGTGTGAATGGGTGGATGACTGGAAATGTAAAGCGCTTTGGGGTCCTTAGGGACTAGTAAAGCGCTATATAAATACAGGCCATTTACCATTTAATTTAATTTTCATTGCTGCAGATTTATTAGCTGCTTATCCCAAATTCCCTTTCAAGTACGTACCAAGAGTGCTCTGCCGGATTGAGGTCTGTGGAGGCCACTGGTACAAAGTATTTTTCCAGTCTTCTGTTGTCCAGTGTTGGTGAGCCTGTGTGAATTTTAGTCTCAGTTTCCTGTTCTTAGCTGGCAGGTGTGGTCCCCACTGTGGTCTTCTGTTGCTGTACCTCATCTACTTCAGATGTGTTGTGCTTTCATAGATGTTTTTCTGCATACATGTTTGCAACGAGTGGTTGAGTCATTGTTGCCTTCATACCACCTCAGAGTAGTCTTGCAAGTGTTCTCTGACCTCCAGCACAGAGATGGGCCTCAAGTGGCCTTTTAGGAAATTGAATTCTGTGTGAACTTTGTTTTTAAACTCTGCAGGCTGGTGCTTTGTATATTGCATCGTTTAACTTCTATCTTGGTTTAAATATTAGTGAATTTTTTCAGTTGTAGAATTTGGTTTTATTTTTGCAGGATTTCAGTCAGGAATTTAAGAAGTTTCCAAATGCCTCAGGCGATTCACGTTCAACAAAAGGTGAATGCACATAATATTGTTTGTTTTTAATTTTTTTTATCACAACTTTTGCAAACATTTCAAATGTTGTTGTTTTTTTTCAATTGTTGATGCCAGGAGGCCCCTTCTCTAAGCTCACCTCAACCTCAGATATGCATGAGACAAAAATGGGAAATGTGACTATACAGGTAGTCACAGGAGACATAACCAAGGAGACAACAGATATCATTGTCAACTCTTACAATGAAAGCTTTTCACTTAAGTCGGGTAAATCATAGAAAAAAGTGGAATATTCAAGTTTTGAAAAATATTTATAGTTATATGTAATTCTCTCCTCACTACTGCACAGTGGACATAGCAGTCAACAGAAGAATTAAGCATCTTATTAAATTAAGTATTAAATTACACAAAAGATGAATACAGTAATCATTATCTTTAATTTTTATTATGTGTATAATTTTTCCACTTTATCCAGGAGTCTCTAAAGCTATTCTAGACACAGCTGGTAAGGCTGTTGAAGTGGAATGCCATAACTTCGGTAAGAAATCACTTTAACTTTTAGATTTTATGACACTGTAACTCAGAGTAGACTCAACCTACAGTATAACAGTTTTGGTTTTTTCAACAATAAAAATGAAGCTGACTTAATATAAAGCCCATTTTTGTAATCATACTCTAAGATTGCCAATAAAGGAAATATGGCCTAAATAAGCATTCTCATGGTCATTAAGGGTAAAAGACATAAAGATCCACTATCTCCACATTTAGGTGCCAAGTCCAATCCAGGCATGATAATGACTCAGCCAGGTAACCTAAAGTGTAAGAAGATCCTTCACGTGGTTGGAGATTCTGACCCAGTAAAAATCAACAAGGTTGTGAAAGATGCACTTCAGATGTGTGTGAAAAGCTCCTACACCTCTGTATCATTTCCTGCAATTGGCACAGGTGAGATTTATTCATGTATGTCATGTAAGTTCATGATATGGGAAATCTACATACCATAGTTACGTTAAGCCTATACCAGAGACTTGTATTATGAAAGAGGTTATGCTTCAGATTAGAGATCAACAGACATGAAATCACCTCCTACTGACCAATCAATTCTCTGCACAATAGCAATTAAAACAATTACTCTATAAGTATTAATGCGTAATCTTAAAACTGGACATGAATTTGCACTAGTTAACTTTATGTCAAATTTGCACACAGTCTAAGCCGGATCTTAACTTACTGTCAAAGCTTTAAACACCAACACCATACATGCAGCTGAAGGAACTTCTGAACTGAAAAACTATTGTCAGCAGAAAGTATAGTTGTGGACAAATAGTATGTTTACACATGAAGCAAACGTTTCACTGATAGCAACTCAAAACTGTAAGACCAGACTGACCAGTCTGTGCACTGCCTGTGTTAACTAAAAGAAAGACTACAGCTCATGGCCTCACACACGGATCTTGGAATGCCTAGAACAATACAAGATCAATGGGACCGTAACACTCTTCATCAGGAGTTTGATGGGGATGTGGCGAACAACAGTATAGGCTAACTTCAAGACAATTGCACATGTCACTGTCAAGTGCAGGATTTAACAAGGACTTTAGAGGCTTTGGCAGTGGCTAAAGAAAAACGCTGGTGTTTGAGGAGTTCAGTGAGGCAGGTGTAAAAGACTGTAAGACTGCCTCAAGGCAATTTTGGCAACTCAGGATCCCACTGACACATCTTTCAGCAGAGTGTGTGGATGAGGGAATGAGTCATCCATCACTGAGGGTGAGGTCACCAAGTCAGTTAAACAACTCCTTGTTAGCAGCCCCTGGGGTGGATGAGGTTAACCCCAAATTCCTGAAGGATGCTTTAGGGCTTCCTTGGTTGACTTGCCTCTACATTGTTGAATAGAAATCTGAAGCGATACCTCTGGATTGGCACATTGGGGTAGTGGCTATCTTCAAGAAGGGGGACTGGAGTATGTGCTCCAACTATAGGGGACTCACGCTTCTCAGTCTGGGTAAGTCTATGACAGGGTGCTGGAAAGGAGGCTGTCCATTAGTCGAACCTCGGATGTGGTTTTTCGTCCTGTTTGCAGAACATTGGATCAGTCATGAGCACTGGTAGTGACCAAAAGAACGAGATCACGGATAAAGGTGGTGGAAATTTGCTTTCTTTGAATGGTGACTGTTCTCTCCCTTAGAGATGGGGTGAGGAGTTCAGCCACCTGGGAGGGGCTCAGAGTAGGGTTGGTTCTCCTTCACATAGAAAGGAGGTAGTTGAAGTGGTTCAGGCATTTAAAAAAGGATTCTTCCTGGGCGCATCCTGGGTTAGGTGTTACAGGCATGTCTCGCCAGGAGGTTTGCCTGAGGCAGGCCCAAGACACGCTGGAGGGATTATATCTCTCAGCTGGCCTGGGAACGCTTTGATGTTCCCCCAGACAAGCTGGAGGAGTTGGCTGAGCACAGGGAGGTCTGGGCTTCTCTGCTTAGGCTGCTGCCCCTGTGACCTGGCTCGGAGAAGAAAATGGATAGAATGGATGGATTTGGTTACAGTTAATCTTTTTGGTTTCTTGCTGATGCCCTCTACTATAATTCTGTTGTTTCTCTACTCACTTGTAGGAAACTAGAGGAAATAACGGTAGTTTTAAACGCTTACATGTACACACACAGTCAATGTCCCTCCATTTAGAAAGATGGAGGCATCAGAGTGAACTTCTCCATTCAACACAGAGGCTCTCACAACCTAAATCATGATGTCAGTTTTGAATAAATTTATTTTTTTAATTACATTTATGTATGCTGTATGCATTTTGTTCATTCCTAAGTTGTGAGTCTACATAACAGCCAAAATACTGTCTTTAATTATTAACATTTGAAATGATGAAGGCACTTGAAATGCAACGCAAAATTAGCTGCCTTCACAGAAAAACACAAACACTTTAAGTACTGTATAAACTGTGTTTACTCTTTCCTTCCCAGGCTTCTAGAATTCCGATTTGCCAAAATTTCTGCACGGCTAGGATTTCACATGTTCTTGACAGTGTTTGACTGTGTTTTTGGCGTTTACATCTGGACAGGTTTTTTTTAAAAAACAAAAATGGAAAAATTCAATTTTCAAAAATACCCGTGTACGTATGGACGTAGCCTCAGTCTCTGGTTTCGACACCTTCTCAGATGTATGCTCATGATGGATAACAATAGTAGTAGTCGTGGTGGTGGGTATTCTTGTTAGACTTTCTTTTTCAGAACCATACAAACTTTAATTGGGTGATGTCACAGTGTTTTGAGTTTTGTGTGGAATTATTATTCTTTCCTTTGCATTAAGACAGGGGTGGGGTAGCTCCAGGCCTCGAGGGCCGGTGTCCTGCAGGTTTTAGATGTGTCCTTGATCCAACACGGCTGATTTAAATGGCTAAATTACCTCCTCAACATGTCTTGAAGTTGTCCAGTGGCCTAGTTATGAACTAATCATTTGATTCAGGTGTGGTGGCCCAGGGTGATATCTAAAACTTGCAGGACACCAGCCCTTGAGGCCTTGAGTTCCCCACCCCTGCATTAAGAAGATTTTTTAAGTTTAAGCTTTGTACATTTTAGTTATTTTAGTGTATGCATTTGGGTCCTCTCTGCCTGAAACACAGCACCTCCATGACGGGTGACCTGGGTCATGACCCCCCTCCCCATAACACCTCTTAACCTTTCTGATGAAACAAAAAAGTGTAAAACTCCCCTTGGCCAGTTAAAAGGTTTTGCAGTGTGTTCAGATTTACAAAAAATGCGCTACAAACTGAATTGTTTATCTTTTAAGGTAGAGAGCATGAGGCTGGGCATTGGCAAAATAAGTAAAACATCCAAAGGCAGGTTTTACGCTTCCGTAAGAATAGCTAAAGCATTCTGACAGAGCTGAACTTGTCACTCTGGTTCATCCAGTAAACAATGAGACTCATTATGTATGCAAGTGCCTTAGGTTCATAATGACAAACAAAGTATGGACATAAAGTGCAACTTATCATTTTTGAAATGAGGCAATTTTCTGTGTTGATTTTTTTAAATAGATTTTTTTAATTATTATTAACCACACAGTGAATTTTGGAATTTATAAGTTGAACATCACCATTTATGGAAAATTCCATTAAAAAACAAAACAAACAAACAAAAACAGTGTACATAAAATTAATGTTTCAGTAAAATACTCGATTAGCTAAATTAAACTCTAATAACTTCTACTGTAAAAATAATATTCTGACATCTAATCTTCTTAGAAGAGACACTTACTGGCCTATACAGGGAGTGCAGAATTATTAGGCAAGTTGTATTTTTGAGGAATAATTTTATTATTGAACAACAACCATGTTCTCAATGAACCCAAAAAACTCATTAATATCAAAGCTGAATGTTTTTGGAAGTAGTTTTTAGTTTGTTTTTAGTTTTAGCTATTTTAGGGGGATATCTGTGTGTGCAGGTGACTATTACTGTGCATAATTATTAGGCAACTTAACAAAAAAACAAATATATACCCATTTCAATTATTTATTTTTACCAGTGAAACCAATATAACATCTCCACATTCACAAATATACATTTCTGACATTCAAAAACAAAAACAAATCAGCGACCAATATAGCCACCTTTCTTTGCAAGGACACTCAAAAGCCTGCCATCCATGGATCCTGTCAGTGTTTTGATCTGTTCACCATCAACATTGCGTGCAGCAGCAACCACAGCCTCCCAGACACTGTTCAGAGAGGTGTACTGTTTTCCCTCCTTGTAAATCTCACATTTGATGATGGACCACAGGTTCTCAATGGGGTTCAGATCAGGTGAACAAGGAGGCCATGTCATTAGTTTTTCTTCTTTTATACCCTTTCTTGCCAGCCACGCTGTGGAGTACTTGGACGCGTGTGATGGAGCATTGTCCTGCATGAAAATCATGTTTTTCTTGAAGGATGCAGACTTCTTCCTGTACCACTGCTTGAAGAAGGCGTCTTCCAGAAACTGGCAGTAGGACTGGGAGTTGAGCTTGACTCCATCCTCAACCCGAAAAGGCCCCACAAGCTCATCTTTGATGATACCAGCCCAAACCAGTACTCCACCTCCACCTTGCTGGCGTCTGAGTCGGACTGGAGCTCTCTGCCCTTTACCAATCCAGCCACGGGCCCATCCATCTGGCCCATCAAGACTCACTCTCATTTCATCAGTCCATAAAACCTTAGAAAAATCAGTCTTGAGATATTTCTTGGCCCAGTCTTGACGTTTCAGCTTGTGTGTCTTGTTCAGTGGTGGTCGTCTTTCAGCCTTTCTTACCTTGGCCATGTCTCTGAGTATTGCACACCTTGTGCTTTTGGGCACTCCAGTGATGTTGCAGCTCTGAAATATGGCCAAACTGGTGGCAAGTGGCATCTTGGCAGCTGCACGCTTGACTTTTCTCAGTTCATGGGCAGTTATTTTGCGCCTTGGTTTTTCTACACGCTTCTTGCGACCCTGTTGACTATTTTGAATGAAACGCTTGATTGGTCGATGATCACGCTTCAGAAGCTTTGCAATTTTGAGACTGCTGCATCCCTCTGCAAGATATCTCACTATTTTTGACTTTTCTGAGCCTGTCAAGTCCTTCTTTTGAGCCATTTTGCCAAAGGAAAGGACGTTGCCTAATAATTATGCACACCTGATATAGGGTGTTGATGTCATTAGACCACACCCCTTCTCATTACAGAGATGCACATCACCTAATATGCTTAATTGGTAGTAGGCTTTCGAGCCTATACAGCTTGGAGTAAGACAACATGCATGAAGAGGATGATGTGGACAAAATACTCATTTGCCTAATAATTCTGCACTCCCTGTACACCTCATGATTATCAGACTGCATAACTACTAAACCTCCTTCTGTGTAACTTGAATCAACTTACAGAAGACTGATGCTCTGGAAAGTTTACTAACAAAACCTGAGACTACACATAAATAGCATGTACAAATCAGTTCTTCAAATTATAATAATAGTATTATAATATTTTTAGGTCAAGGTAATGTAAACGCAAGACTAGTAGCAGATGCCATGTTGGATGCAGTGATTGATGTGATGAGCCAAAACTCTTCCGGTCCCCTGACCACAATCCGCATAGTTATTTTCCAGAAAGCTATGCTAAAAGATTTCCACAGCAGCCTGGAACAGAGAGAAGCTACTGATCCTAATCCTAAGGATAAAGGACAGGGAACCTGGGGAGGCATTGGCAAAGTCCAAGGTAAAAATATGTAGAAGAAAAATCCAGCACTGTTCTGCTGTCTCCAGTCAATGTTGAACCTTAACTTCTAATGGTTTTGAAATGTGGTTTTTCAGGAATGCTTACTGATGGAAATACTGAAAAACCAAAGAAAGAGAAAGACTGCACAGCTGAAGGTCAGGAAGCTGATGCCACTTGCTTCCATATTTGTGGTGTCACTCAGGCTGATGTAGATATAGCCAAGAAACTATTGTTTCAAGAGCCTGAGACAACCACAATTGAGGACGAAGCCATTGGTAAACTCTGTGATGCAGACCACCAGAAAATTGATGACATGGAGAAGACCATGGGTATAAGCATAAAAATAGAAAACAGTAAAGTCAAGCTCACTATTGAAGGACTGAGCAATGATGTGCTTAAAGCTACCTCTGAGATCAATATGATGCTAACCAGGAAAAGAGAGGGTATTCCTGAGCAGTGGGAACGCATGCCAGCTGAGGCCACATGTCAGGCTTTTGCAGTACAAGCCAAGACATCAGAATATGATGAAATCCTGAAACATTTTCAGGCCTCATGCAGTGGATTTGTTACAAAGGTAACATTTGTTATTTATCACTCAGATCATTAGAGCAAAAGGTTTTTGGTGAATGGATCATCAAATTGATACTGACTAATCATTTCTAGATTTAAATTGAAAATGTATTTTCATGCATCTGTTCAAGTCTTTGTGCAGTCAAACCATTATGAAGTTAGTGTTAAACATTTTTTTTTAAATCTTTTTAAAAAAAGTTTGTTTCACAAGAAAGCCAATAAAAGCAGTTAACATAAATCTACATCAGACTACACAAAAAAGCACTTTTCTTCCTCTCAGATTGAGCGGATCCAGAACCCTGGATTGTGGAAGAGTCTAGAGATTAAGAAGCGTGAGATGGAGTTGAGAAATGGTCATCAGAATAACGAGCGACGTCTTTTCCATGGTACCTGCAACAGAGCTGTGCCAAATATTAATGACCGTGGGTTCAACAGGAGCTATGCAGGAAAGAATGGTGAGATATTTGTGGGTGGGGGATGTGTCAGTGTGCCAATTGTTTTCAGTTTGATCTTAATGCTACCGAGAGTTACAGAGTTGGCCATAAACACACTTTTTCAAAATCAGCTTTGGACTACAGAAAGAATGGAATACACAGAATGTGGAGAAAACTTGCACAAGGAACAATGCTGAAAATAAATATTTTAGAAGACAGTGAGAGACAATAAAAGGTGGGAATGCGGAGATCAGAATAGGGATTATAAGTACTGGGATTGTGGCTGGTAAAAGGAAAGAGCTGGCTGATATGATGGGCAAAAAGGAAGATAGATATTGTGTGTAGGATACCAGGCGGAAGGGAAGCAAGGTCAGGAGCACCGGAGGTGGATTCAAGCTGTGCTACAATGATATTGAAAGGAAATGAAACAGAGTATGGATAATCTTGAAGGGAGAGAATGTGAATAGTGTTGTGGAGGGGAAGAGAGTGTCAGACAGAATCATGGGTTTCAGGCTGGAAATCAAAGGGTTGATATTGTCTTCAGGGGGAGAAAGTGGTGACTGGAACAGCCTTCAGTGGAGATCTAGGTGAAAGGAACAGAGGTCAAATTTGGAAGAACAGATGGAAGGGGGTTTTGCTAAAAGGATGAAAATGGCTGTGGCCACCAAGTAAAGTCAAAAATCGAATATATGGGTCCACAGTGTTTGGGTTGTGGCTGCCCCTCCGGTGTACTTGCTGTAATTTCTATCTGTGGAAACCGAGGACTGAATCTTCAGATGATGTCTTCTGCTCATCACAAGACAGAGAGAGAAAAAACTACCGCATTTTCCGAGCCGCCTTCTTTATACTCTTTTGTCCATTTGCCTCTCTCTCTCTCCTCCTGTCTGTCATTTACATACATCCAGCCACACTCTATCATCCTCTCCATCTTCAACCTTTCAGTCTCTTTTAACTAAGGCGGTGGTTATTTCGTTGAAAGCATTTCCTTACATCTTCTTCTTTTCCATATTATACTTAACAAAATTTGTCAATAAATACACCGCATATGAACTTTCAGTTGTGTATTCAACAGCACTTCATACCATTTCTCTTATTCAGAATCATGTATAATGATTGGTTGGCAACATATTTCTATGTCTTTGACTACAAGTTAATTTGATTTACTATTAGCAGAAGCACACAGAAATAAACTCTGTTTTTGTATCAGACATAAAAGACTGGATGTTAATATTTTCTACTCTCTCTGTTAGTGTGAGTTTAATGTGAGGTTATGGAAGTTTGAGAGGATTTAGTGTTTGATTTTCAGACTGGTGCAACTACTAGGAGTAACAGAAAGCGTGTCAAAGCGTTTTTCCGTTGACTTTCTGCTGCTCTTCATTTTCAGCTGCATTATATGGCAATGGCACATACTTTGCTGTCAATGCTAGTTATTCTGCCAGTGACACCTACTCCAAGCCAAATCAGAACGGGGAAAAGTTTATGTACGTCTGCCGAGTTCTGACTGGTGACTTCACTCTTGGACAGAAAGGCATGGTTACACCACCAGCAAAAAAACTCGGATCCACTGACCTGTACGACAGTGTTGTGGACAACATTGCCAATCCCACCATGTTTGTTGTCTTCCATGACACCCAGGCTTGTCCTGAGTATTTGATTACATTCAAGTAATGGTAAATGGTCTGTATTTGTATAGCGCTTTACTTGGTCCTAAGGACCCCAAAGCGCTTCACACTATACACAATCATCCACCCATTCACACACACATTGGTGATGGCAAGCTACAGTGTAGCCACAGCCGCCCTGAGGCGCACTGACAGAGGCGAGCCAGTGAACAAGATTATGAGACATAATCAACTTACATCATAAAAGTGAGCCCATTATGCTACTTTTTAACTCTATGTATTTATTCTTTGACTCTATTAGACTAGCTCTGCATGGTCCACAGTTCAAAATCATTTGAGCCTTTTATTGGCTCAAATTGTGGTCATCAGAGTTTTGTAACCTTGTAAACCAAAATATCTGAAAATCTTGTGTTTGTGCATCTATAGATGATAGTTTGTGTGCTTGTAAAAAAATATTTACACGTTACACTTTTTTTTTGTTAAGGTCTGTTTACAGACAAAGCAAAAAATTACATGTAAAACTCTGCACTCGAGTTCCCTGGCTGTGCGTGTTTCAACTTGCAACTACGAATTTTGACCTGATTATTCTTCCTTTCAGCTGATTGGTCAATGTCATGTCAATCACAAATTTAACAATCCAGCCAGAGAACAGATGGGTTTGGCTGTCAGAGAGGTGCTTTACAGGAATACAGGAAAAATAGAGAAAACAATAAAACATAAGATGGTCACAGGAGGAGATAGATGCCCCTGATCTTGAGACACAAAAACTCAAAAGCATGGAGGACTCCACCCAAAGTCCAACTTTCTTTTTACTCCTTTCGCCTCCTAGGCAAACCCTACACAGGTTTTTTTTGTCTTCTATTTTAAGTACAGAAGCTTTTTGTGTTTTTTATGTGTTCGTATGTGTTGATTAAACATACAGTTTAAGGTTATCAAAGAAAGACTAAAAAGAAATAAAATCCTATTTTAAACTCTACACCTTCTGTTTCTGCCTTTACCTCTTCAGTATTGTATCACTGGAGGATCTTTACCTTCCAAAGCAACTTGAGGTGACTGCTGCTGCCATGTGGTGCTATATAAATAAAACTGAATTGAATTAAACTAATCCAGCTTTAACTTGTCACATGTTGTGAGTGTAGCTGTGTATCCATCTGAATCCATGGAAAGGTTTATCACTCTGTCCTAAATCTGTCTTTAAACTTACTTTTTTGGTCTTGCTTGCCTTAACTCTATACCAAAATCCTTATTAGGATCACAGTCAGTCATAACATTTCTTCTGGACAAACATTTGAATGCTTGCCCATCCTACGAGAGGAGATGAACTGTTCTGCTCAGGGGAGATGGAAAGGCCTTATATGCTAAAACTAAACTAACCTTTAAAATTAAATCTAGTGCAAACTATGGATAGTGTAATACATTTCCCATTTCCTTACCATGATGAAAGTTGTTTTTAGTGAAATAAGGGTGGGGATGACAGCATCAGCACACTCTTATACGTGTAGTTTCACTTAAAAATTCATTCAGTTAAATTTCACCCTATACTGTCTCCTTGTGGAAGACAATAACAGTGTTCATCATATTCTGTGATTCTTTTCAAACAAATAACATCAATACCACTTTCTGTTAGAGGAACACAAACATTTTCTGGTAATTGTATAACAAATTTTGTGTATTTTCTAGGTATGAAAACCCCCCACATCTTTTAGTATAACATGAATTAAGTATAGAATTGCTTATATGCTGGGTTGACAGATATTTAATTTTGTCAAGTTGTCAGTAGCCCAAATTACAAATAAAATAACATTTTCAGAAATTAATTTCTCATCATAATAAATGCATCTCATAACAGTTCAAATGTAAGCCCTGTTTGTCAGTAACCACTATCCACCTCCGTGAAAGAAATTTGTCAGGTTTGACCTAATGTGTAACTTCTATATCGAAATTAGACACATGAGACAAGTGAGATTTGTGGTATTTTTTTAATGCTTAAACATTTTTATTTCTAATATTAAGTATTGGCAGTACTGAAATATAATTTAAAACACTCTTTGAATATCAATTTTCAAACAAAGGATAACCAACTAAAATACGTCTCTGTCCTAAGATCGAGTGGAACTCAAATAGGTTTGAAACGAGCTAACTGAAAGTTCTCACCACCTGTAACAGGCAGCGTGGAAAATAAATCCAGAACATTACTTAATATGTCTGTGAAGGTTCTCAGTCATCCAGGTCATCGTAGTCAAAGGAGCTTGCAAAGAAAAGCGTCTGGACTTCTTTAAGTTGCTTGAAGACGTTTCACCTCTCATCCGAGAAGCTTCTTCAGTTCTAATGTATACCTGGCCTAGCAGGAGGTCGTCAGATAAGTGATCATTTGTACGTAGAAGCTTACAAATGGTCTGTCTGCACTGATGTTAGGTAAAACAAGCCAAACATTATTTTTTTGTTAGAAATGAAGTAAGCTAACTAACACCGGGAAAGTCAAGCAGTTTCTTTCATGTGGACTTCGCTATGAGGTAAATTTCCTACCTGTTGCTTTTGAAGCCCAGATTTTCCTTTTAAGGAGCCGTCCTACTGTTAGGTAGCAGCGCGTGTTAAAAATGACAGTTTGACTCTTCGGCTGTTTTCTAGGGGCCTTGTCACTCATGAGCCTTTAGAATGGTCATTTTTCTCCCCCTGTCCGCTGTTAGTGTCCCGCGGTTTGATAACCACTGAGGGAAATCACAGTTGCCATCACAGAGCTTTATTTAAATCAGAGTCTCTGGTGTAGCCTGCACTCTGGCGCTATCTGCAGCACACAGTGAGTCACTGCACTATTATATCTGGATTTCTGCTGCGCTGTTCGCCAAAGACTGAAAGAGTGCACGCCATTTGAAAATGATTTTTCTTTATGTGTGTGCGCGTGCGCAAAAGCCACGCTTATGTTTTTTTTCTTGTTTATTGTTAGGGTGGAGTTTTA